GCCCACAGGGGGAGACACCCTATGTCCCCTGCTCAGCATACAGCCCCTTCTGCCGCAGCTGGGGCTGCCAGGGGCTGTGCTGAGGGTCTGCTGCCACCCAAACTCTAACAGGCTGTATTTGGGATAACTCACAACTGGGTAGGCTATGGAACCCCACGGAGCTGTGGGATGCTATGGAGGTTGCAGAACCCCACGTGGGCTGTGATGAGGGGCTGCAGGGGCTCAGGGGAGGGCAGTGGTGTGGCCCTGCAGAGCAGTGCCCAGCTGCAGCACGGTGCCTGTGAGTGCCAGGCTGCTTTCTCCGTGTTCAAAACAAGAGCTGCCTCTAGTGGTAATGAGAATGGCCTCGGGTATTGTGCTGGAAGCTCCTTCCCCATCCTGCTCTGGGATGTCCCCAGCACACTGTAACTCGCTGGGGCTGCATATGAGTGGGTCCCTGCAGCGACGCAGTGCATCCAGAGCATCCTCGTGCTGCAGCCCAAATCTCCAGGCACTGCTCCCATCCCCATGCTCCTGCTGTTTGGGTTCAGTGTGGCATGTAATGGCCTTGACCTAGGCTGCCTTTTAGCTGAATAAATCGTGTGTCCTCAGTCAGCCTGGGGCTGCTGAGAGGAGATCGACGACAGACTTGTGCTTCAGCCCTGCAAGGACAGCGTGATGTGAAGCAGAGCACAGCTATTTAAACTCCAGGAGATCAGCAGAGATGTGGAAAGTGATACAACTCATGGACCAGAGGTGTGCTTCACACTGGAGTGGCTTCAATGGGGCACAAAGGGACAAAAGGACAGGTGTGTCCCATTGGCTCCAGACATGGTGCATCCTTGCAGTTTCTCCACACCTTGCCCATGTCCTGCCCTGCTCTGAGGTTTCCTTGGAGACCAGGAGATGCTGAGCTGTGGCTGAGAGCTGAGAGATGAGGCAGCTGATAGACACCACATATCCCAAGGTGCTCTTTTGGACAATGTTGACCCACAGATTTCATTTCCTTCTATTCAATGTCCTTCATGCCAAACTTTCTCCATAATTCCCCTAGAACTGTCCTCACTGTTCTCCTAGAAAACAAGCTGCCAGGTAACTTCATCACTCTTTTGGAGATCCCCCTGGTTGCCCAAGGCCAGGTGAGCTCCATCAGCAGCCCCAGGATGCACAGGTTCCTTCTCCTATATTCAGTTCTCTGCACCTTCCTCTTGGTTCAGAGCAAGACTGGTGATGCCAGATTCCCCCAACAGCACACCCAGGGATGCTCCTCACTGCTCTTACTCTCTACTCTCTACAGTTCAAAATCTCAGGGGAAAAACACCCGGCTCCACTTGCAGAGGTATATCAGGAAGAACCGCCGTTCCTTAAGACCATTGATGATATTTGCGGCTCTGCATTTAAAGATGATGATAAAGGCAATCAAGCTGTCAAGAATGAAGACAGATGGGGAGCTCAATGGAGCCAGCGAGGGATTCCCTGCTTTCGGCTTGCAGCTGTGATTTATATTTCATTCTCACCTACGGGCTTGGAGCAAGGAGCAGGGCAGCAGCGCTTCACAGAAACACTGTATGGAGTACAAACAGCACCAAAATGTCCACATTTGAGCTTCTAGAGCTGCTTGTCCCTCCTTCAACCATCCCCATGAAATCATAAACTGTTCCCAGAAATATTCTGGGGAGCAGAGCTCATCGCTCACAACGAACAGCCCTTGCTGCTGCCCCCAATCAGGTCTCACGGTGGCTCTGCTTTCCCTCCCTCTCTCCCTCCCTCCTTTCGTTGTCGGATGCTGTTTTCTCATCCTACCTCTGTACATTGTCATGCCCCCAACGGACGGTGCCAGCCTTATCGTCTCTGTAAGACAAAGTCATCAGCAGGGCTCTGTGTCTGCACTGATACGGTATCCATGCAACCTGCGTCTCAAGGATCGTGTTTGCTTTTTTCTCTGGATTAAAAAAAACCAACAACACAACACAGCACAAGAACAGCCTCGCTACGAAGAGTTCTAGCAGTTAATTAGCTTCCACAGTGAAAGGGCCACTGCCCGGCAGCTAAAAATCATTGTGTTTGAATGGAGAATTAAGTCAGCCAACCAATAAATCTGAGCAACAAAACAGTCCCTTTAGCTCCGAGGAGCTCTCTTTCCTCAAAACACTGATAAATGGCTTTTTCTCAGAGCCCACGAGGTCATCAAATTAATAAAGCATTTCAAGTAATGTATGGAAGAGAAGTGACACCCTGTTGCAAGAGATTTGCTGTTGAAATCAACTCTCTGTAACAGAGTGTGATGCATGTAGGGTTTCCAAAGCAAAAACCATCCTCTAATGTAGGGCAGTTGTCCAAACTCCTTCATGTCTGTTCTGGGCCCCTGTCCTCCTCCTCAGTCAGTACTCAGGAGACTTCGGTGGGAGGAAAACAATATGAAAATTTGGGATTTCCCAGTTGACCATGCAAGAACCTCAGAGTGTGAAGAAAGCTTAAAAGAAGGCACCAGTGAGGGAAAATAAGTAAAATGCAGAAAAGCTCTTGAAATGATGGTAGTGCATGGTTATGTCCTTTGCACATTCATGTCTGTTGCAGGGATTGCTCCCCATGCCCCACCACACATAGGTATGAAGCAATACTGCACCCAAAATACTGCATTTACGGGCAGGGACTTTGCTTGCCAGCACTGACACCAGGGATGTTCGCAAGACTCAGCACAGATAGGATGGGAGCCTCTCCCCTAAGCTGAAGGCTGGATATGTCCCCTCACTTCCCACTGAATTGCCTTTCTGCAAGCTTGTATTAGACTTGAAACACTTTAATATGAAATATATGTTTAATAATAGGTAGCACAGAGAGGCACTGAATAGGACAAACACTGAAAAACAGAGCTAGCAATCACCTCTGCAATGCTGCATCCACTGGGTACCTTTCTTCATGACATCCTCGCCTGGGTTTCATTTGCCTTTGATTTACTCAGAGCATAAACCTCTCGAGGGCCTCTGCTATGATGACAACCACGGTGCCACGGCCTCCCAGCGTGATCCCAGTGTGGAGCCCGTTATTATGCTGGGACAGCCCGTATCCCAGGGCATCGCTCATGGCTCCCAACACAGCCGACACACAAACCTGGCAGCACGCAGACAACTCCAGCCTCTGTGCGGGCTCATCGGCATGCAGCAGGAAGCCCCGATACCATATGGAGCGTGGAGGCAGATGGATGGACATATGTATCATCTGCGAGCGTCTCCGCTGATGGGAACGTCCCAGCGCAGGCATTACTGCTCCAGTAGATGGTTTGCATTTGGGGCACCAGAGGATTTTTCTCCCATAAAATAAATAAAATACGTTCTGAGCATCTTGGGATGCAGCCATTCTAATCCCTTTATTCCTTCTAAAGGAAAATGATTCCATATTCAGGGCGCTGTGCAAACAATTAATTAGCCTAATGAAAATGAAAGCCCTAATTGCTTGATATTATTATGATCATCGGCCGCCAAGCGTGACCAGGGAATAGGCACTGTCCTACCAGTGAAAGAGCTGCACTCCATGCCTTTTCAGGATTTTTGTCCACATTTCAGTGTCTAGCAAAACCATTCTTTTTTTTCTGGCTTTGGAGCGGTGCTGCAATTCTCCCTTCCGCATGCGGAAAAGCTGGCAGTGTTTGGAGGCATCTGAATGAGCTGCTATACAATTTAAAAAGAGAACAGAAGAGATACCCAGCTGGTGTGAAATGACCTGGCGGGGAGGAGGCAACAAAGCCATCACTTTGCCTGAGTTGAACTGCACAGCAGTGCTCCCACTGCGTCTCCTCCAGGAGACTGCACTGACAGGAGTGCTGCAAGGGAAGAGAAGTGATCTTCTTCAGGGGACACAGTGAACATTGAAGTACAATCCTCCTTAATGCAGCTCCTTTTTCAATTATCTGTTGTTATCCGAATGGAAAAGGGCTTTAAATTCAGGCAGATGAACTTTCTCACCGTGGGTTGGATCGTGAGGAGTCAGGTTATGGGAGCTTAAGGAAATGAACCATTCTCATTTGTGCGTATCTCATAGCAGAAATAGAAAGCAGATGCTGACTCAACACTGACCCAGCCTGACGAGTATGGGTCCAATAATTCTTCCTTTAAGCGAATGATTCTCGTAGTAAAATCTCCAAGATTCAGCTTTAATTCTATTATCTTCCTTGTGCAGAGTGGCAGCTAGAGACTACCCTTTAAAAATCGAGTGGGTGAAGTCTGCTCTCACACTCAAACAGCTCCAAAGGTTTTACTATGGAAGGTTTCTCAGGAAGCTGTATTTTGGATGAGGAGGTTGGACTGCAGTTTTTAAACTGTATTAGGGGCACTTCTCCTCTGTGCTGCAGGCTGGCACCCACAGCTTCAGGAGAAGCCCATACAGAAGGCATGCATTCTCACACAACATCAGGCACTCAGGTGGGAAATGGGGTTTCCTGGTGTGACCAATGGTAGAAAGCTCTTCACTTAGGGCCTCAGGATCATCCTCTGGCACAGTTTAATGCTCTGAATTGTTGCAGTGCAATAGGAACCCAAGCCTGGTCACCAAAATGAGGAGGAAAACAATAATCACTTCAAGGCTTTCAATACTTCACATTTGCACCAAGTTGCCACTTGTGAGACAAGCTGTCTCCAAATACACCATCTTTTGAGCAACATTAAAAAAACACAGAACTATAAAATGATGTAGAAGAGGTAAGAGCAGAAAATAAATGCTTGTGGTTGAGGGTCTCTGCTCTTCATGATCACCTTTTTCCCCTGAAAAAGTAAAACTGAGGGATGCACAGGCCTTGCTGAAGCCACGCTGGGTCTGTAAGCATTTGTATGTGCAGCTGGCAACCACACAGAGCTGCTGGGGGCTCTGAGACACAGAAAACATCAATCCCAAAGGCATCGGAGCAGAAGCTGTCTATCAGATGACTGAGTGTCCTGGCACTCTGGTATCAGAGTGGCTACCAGCATTCAACCTCCCATCGCCTGCTGCTCATCTCCTCCCCAGTGATAAAAAAGTAACCCCAAAGAGAACAAAGCTTTTGTTTTTCATTTATTTTGCAAATCTACCAGTTCATTTTATGAAAGTATGAAATCCTATGCAGTTACATTAAACAGTGACGTTACAATCCAAGTGATACAAATAACCACTACAAAGTTATTTTTAGGTACTCTCGGGTAATGAGTCGATTTTATGTTATTTTAAATAAAAAGCAGTTATAAAGAAGAGATAAAATAGCCTTGAGATTGTCGAAGAATTCAGTTTAAACCAAGGAAACCACTGTAGAATCTCCGTGACCTATGAAACGTTAGAAACACTGTCACTTATACAATCTTTCAATGTTAATTTTCAGTTAGTCACATCAAACAGACCTACATGCACACAGCTAGTCAATGTAAGAAGAGTTCACAAGTTGTTTGAAACCAGTGTCAGGTTTCCTTCTCTGGAAATCACATCTACTGCATAACACCACCATCCTCCTTGCTTTCAGAGGCACAAAAAACCCTGTAATATTGTTTGTAAAATACACTGAGGCTCCTAATCTGCTCTAATTGAATTCAGTGGAGGTAGGATCAGTTCCTACATTTAATAAGTGTCACTGATTTACTGAAATTCTTGCAATACAGCTTCCTTCTCAGGGATGGAATTAATTTGGGAAACAAAACGCTGCAATAATTCAGGAAAACACTTGGCTTTATTATCCAGCAATTGACACAGCAATTGCATTTCTGAGGACCTGGATGTAGGATTCTTTCCTCTCCACCAGAAATGGGGACACATGGCGACAGCGCGTAACGGCGCTCAGTGAGAACTCGGAGCTATGGAAATAAAGAATAAAAATCAGAGAACAGATTGAGTTAATCCCGAAACTCCTCTCCTGACACCCATCTGATGCACCTCCAGGATCATCCTGCTGCCTGCAAGCTGCTGCTTCTGACGAGACATCTGTCAATCACAACTGCATAACTGCTTCCACAGAAGCAATTAAATGGAGCTTTGATTTCGTAGCTGCGTCTTTACACTGCGTATAGGGGAAGGGGAAATGTCAAAGATGTTACTGCCACAAGGAATGCAAGAGCTTCACAGAAGCAAGGAGAGCTGTTTTGTGAAAACTGGCAGGAGCAGCTACAACGCCAAGGGCCTGTGGCTCAACAGAGATTAAAGAGACGACCCTCTCCTGTGGCCATCAGCTTTCAGGCAGGACAAAGTGGTACAAACCCCCAGATCTGTGCTCAGGCAATAGATCTGCAGAGCTCACTGTAAGACAGAAATGAAGCCAGCAGCATCTTGGCAGGGCTTCTAGAACCAGCCCTTTATTCACAAGAGTTTAACACTGATCACCAAAAACGTTTTTAAAAATCAGACAGCTTACACAAAACTACACAAATTTCTCACCTAGACATAAAGTGCCACCAAACCATGGAAACTAACAAGAAGTTACTGCAGAGGGCAGTATCTATCGTGTCTATAGCAAGCTTTCCTCCCCTGAAGCAGATGTTTGCTACAGTCTTGGCAAAGGTACCAGGTTGGTCAGAGCACTACTGCAACTAAGGCTAGCAGTGTTCATTCTCACCAAAAAACACAGCTCTTACCCAATATACCAAAGCCAAGTAGGCTGCATTTACTGGTGGCTGTTAGCAGAACTTTCCCCAGGAGGTATTTTAAAACAGTAATAGATGCTTCACTTTCCCATCATTTGATATGATGTGATAAATGTAATTTGCTCAGGCCCTTTGTTAGGAGGATGCACTACAACAGAAAGCTCCACCCTGTTATTACCACTGTGCCTGCTTACTCATGTAAATGTAGAGTCAAATCCTCTTAAGAATCCTGAACAGCCTTCCAGAATCACTTGTTCAACTGACATTTTTGTAATAATAAGGAAAAGAAAAAAGAGTTGTGGGAAATTAAATGGTGCTCCTGTTGCCAAGTTGTTTAAATTATATGGCAGAATGGTTCCAGTAGTTGTAAAAAATTAATTTGTGGAGTTTTTACAACCCTTACATCTACTGAATCTCGATAGGATATATAATGCTATTTAAGTGATACAACTTATAAATGCTAGGGAGAAAGAAAATCAGCACCAACGTGTGAAAGAAAATACTTGATTCTTGTCTGCCTGTGGCTTCCATGAGGCCACAGCTCCAGAGCTGAGGAAGGAAGCCGTGCAGGAGATCCTTGGTGCAGCACGTACATGTGTAGGTATGGATGTCAGTTGCCTTTCCTCTTCAGCAGATGGGAGAGGGCAGCACTCTCAACCACTCTGCTCTGGAAACAGGCTGGCAAGCAGCTCAGCCAGCCCCTCTGCTAAGCCCTCTCTCCCACTGCTTCCTGAAAGCAGTAGCCAGAGTAAAGTCAGTGGCATTGCTTTTTCCCCTCCATTATTACACTGTTCAGAAATAACTGCCTGAGATACCTTAACTGTAGACAAATTTCCCTTTAAGTTACGCCTCTGGACGATCACTGTCATTCTTACAACAACGTCAAATGCAACATGAAACTTTGGGTTCTCTATAGCGAGTGAAATCAGCAGAGCCAAAAGACAGTTCCAGTGGTACCACCGACTGCTCCACTCTGTAAGACAGAGCCAGGGTAAGGCAGTTGGCAATCAGCACCAAGCTTAAGTGACAAGGTTTGTAGCAATTTGCTTTCCACACGCTCGAGCACAGATGCAGATGCACAGAAAGCAGAGATCCCCTGGTTGTTCTCTAAGCTGCCACAGCACTTTGTTTAATTCAGCAGCAGATCTCGGTGCAGTTATTTTTCTAAACACAGTACATTTTGATAGCAACACAGAAGCACGCTACGCAAAACAGATTTGTTCAAGCTCACCATGGTTCTGATGGGCTACACGCAGTGTGAGGCAATTCAAAAAAAGCCCACAACTCAATTCATTGGGGTAACAACATTGGCTTTAAGGAATTCTGCTTCCACTTTGTGAAGGAAGAACAGGCCTACAAAGCAAAAGATCTTACTGCATCTTGTTCTGCTCAGCTTGGCTACTTCTAACACAGAAGTATCAGAGGGTACCAAGGAGCTGGTGAAAGAATTACTGCTTTGTAAATACTTGAAGTAAAACAAGCTGCTTCAAAAAGAAAATCCACTGAACAACAATTCAAACACCCTTCTCTTACGGATCTGAAACTGTTAGACCAACACAGCGAAACACTGAGGGGAAATACAGACATCAGCAGTAGTTCTGGCACCTTGCAATTTGGAAAAAAAAACAGCTCTTGTGCACAGGGGTGAGGCAGCTTGTTTGCACACCCCTTTCTCACGTTATCCCAGACACCCGTGCTCCTGTACAACAGATGTGGCTGGGTTCAGCAGGTGCCCTCCTCAGAAGGAGCTAACTGGCAGCTGTCATGAGAAACGGTGTCAATGCTCTGCGCTTCTGCCTGCGGGTGGATGGACACCTGAACAGCTATTTCTTGGCCCTGCTCATTCACAGACCCATCGTCAGAATCCGCGGCCGGCGAATCGCTGCGCTTGATCTCCGTGTTGATGGGGTACATTGCAGCTTGGGTACCGCAGGCTTGGGTTTGTTTTTCTGCCTCGCCGACTTCATCGGGATCATCGACTCGCACAGCCTCAAAGATCTCTTCCATGAACGCCCTGCAGTTAAGGATCAGCGGCGGAAGGGGAATGCTTCTGGCAAGCTCTTCGATGTACCGAGCAAACTCCATGGTCTTAAACTGAGTGACTTTGGCCAGCTCTAACGTTTTGGCAGATGTAATGATGGGGATACGCTTGGCTATCTCAAAAGCCTTCTGAAGCTTCTCGGCCCCTTCCGTCCTGAAGAACTCATTGATAGCCTTCTCTGTTTTGCGGAGGTGGCTGCTCATCATGCACAGACGAGTTATGTTTAAAATGAGCGTGATGGCAAAGGCAACGAGGCACACAATCATGTAGTAAATGCTCATGTCTCCCGAGGTGAAGGTGACTCTCAGGGTGACGGTGGAATACGCTGTGTTGTTACCATGAACAGCTGCACACGTGTATCGTCCCCGGTCAGCAAAGTTGACCTTTGTGATGTTAAGGAAATTACCAGCAATTCTCCACCGTCCACCTGGAGGTTCAGAAGAAATGAAGTGAGCTAATGAAACACAAACAATCAGGTAAGCTAGAGACATGCTGCTGCTTGCTCCACAAGCTTTACAGTAAGCCCTTTGTTTCTAACATAACACAGTAGGACAAGAATTTGGTGGCCCTGTTCGGCAGGGGGGTTGGAACTACATGATCCTTGAGGTCCCTTCCAACCCGGGTGATTCTGTGATTCTGTGAAGAATTAAATTTTCCTGTTTATGCTTGTGACAAAGCTCTAACTCAGTTAGCCATCCTACTGCTTAATGGTAAATTATTTGTGCATTTGCAACTCTGGTTCTTCTGTTTTCTCTCACCTATATTTTTTGGAGTGCTTTTGCATCACTAGTTCTATCTGACAGGGAACCTAATTCTTAAATAGAACTTCTCACTGTCATTCACTACGTGGAAGGACTGTCTTCTATAGAATCTAATATTCCATATGTTCTGAGTCAAAAGTCAAGTGACCCATGAAAAAGATCGCAGTCTAAATGGCTCAGCTGGCAAAAGGACCCAGAATTTTCTTCAGACACAGCTTTCTGCTGAGCATGCAGTGCTGATACACAAACCTTATGTAAAAAGAAATCAATAAAAGAAGCTTTATGCAGTATTTCCTACGGGTTTATAACTTGGGGTAGAAATTGTTTTCATAACTCATTCTCCTAATTAGTCTACTCTGAACTAATTTCCAGATGGCTCTATAACTACACAGAGGTTACTGAATACTTAAAGCAGTACAACGGCCTCTGAGAAGATCCTATCAATTAGCTCAATGACCTTCATTAATACTAATAGAGGATACCACACAGATCTGCAAAAGCCTTTTTTAGAATTAATTTTAAAAATTGGAGGGACAGAACTACAAGAGCCAGTAGGAAACTATTTCTCTCTCTGTAGGAAAGGGTTACATAGCATCCATTTCAACCTTGGCCATTACAAGCTGTGTTGGTTTCCACAATCTCAGTGGTGCATAAACCAGAAAATAAATGTAATCAGTTACCTCATGCTTTATAAAATCCTGTAACAAAATTAAAGCAAGGCTTGACAGCTTGAAAAGGTCATGATTTTGGAGACTTGTATTTAATTCGTGTGTTTGAAAAGATGTAATATGAACCAGAGCAATAATAACATCAGTTACAATCTGGTAGGATATACACTCAGTTCTTGTGTACTGCACGTTGTGATGGTTCTTGAGCGAAATGACAGAAGGGCATTACAGCAGGATGGGTGGGCTAGGACTTCAGAACTTGGGTACAAAGCCTGATCCACCACATGCCAGAGCTTTGCCTTGTTCCCTCCTATTTCCCAACTGTAAAAATGGGAGGATAGGAAGAGAAAACAATAAAGTTCCAGAGACTTTCATGTACTGTATAAAAGCGGAACGCGCAAGGATATAAAACAGCAGAAAAGCTCACCTTCATCTTTCTGTTGAAGCAGGTGTCCTTTGGAGTTATACCAAAGAATATATTCATATTGGCTGATGTTCACTTTACATTCAATTAAAATACTGGTTCCCTCTTTGGCTATGATATCATGGTGTGCTGGGGAACTTGCTAAAGCTTGAGGCACTGGATGAAGTGATGCATTGAAAGACTCAAAAGCAAGTGTCCCATTAGAAGCTACATTTTCCAGTGTAAGTCCAATCGAAAGATCAGCACTAACAGTCAAAATTAACAGGCAATAGCTGAGCTTCATGGAAAGTTAAGAGAAAAATGCTTTTTCATTTAATTTGGAGAAATGAGGTCACAAGATATTAAATTGTCTGTACGGATCTGAGAGAGAGAGGAGGTTCTTAATTTGTTCACTGGTAGAAAACGTCTTGGATCCAAATGCACTTTCAAGACCATCAATATTGTGAGAGGAAACTGCAAATCCAACTGAAAAAAAAACACGATTAAGTTTATTAATGGCAGCATGCTCATGGTGTATTCAAATCTCATTCCCAGTAAACAGATTTCCAGCAGCATAATATAAACTGCCAGCCAAGCAGCTCCAAATCAGAGCTTTGCTCAGAACACAGTAATGAAATGAGAGTAAGAAGGCATCAGCACAACCTTCAGTCCTCCACACATTCTTCCTCCCATCCAAGTAAGTAATATCGGGAACAGTAATCAATAAGAGAAACGTGGCTTTAAAAGAAGAAAAAATTGTACAGCCTACTCAAACTGCATTAAGTACCTTCAGGATCAGAAAGTGGATCCTGCATTTGTTAACAGCAAAAAAAAAGAAGCGCTTTCTTAATAGAGGAAGAAAAGCAAGAGAGGAAATAATTTCTGCCTTCCTCCACACCGCCATCAAAGTCCCTTCACGTCCTGTGTTTTTCAATGCTGGTTTTTCCTTTAGCATCGAGGAATAAAAGCACTCACACATTTGATTTTTAGCACTTGCACATTTACTTACTTGATTTTAAGGTAAAATCAATGTTATGTGTCTAAATACCAGATAACACGCTCCTCGTTTCTTGTGCAGGGAGAATTACTGTGGCAGCTACCTACAAAGGGAGGAAGTCCCATTCTGAATAGCAGGACACCGATGTCTAAACACACTTCCCTTTTTTGGGCAACCTTTTTTTGCTGCTGCTGCATTCTGGTTTTTGCTGTTGTTGTTGTACAGTAAACTCCTACTGAAAATCCTTTGCTTTATGCTGCTACACCTCAGCAGTCACACCTTGCTTATTATCTTCACCACACCAAACCCTGCCCCGTATTTCACAGCTGTTTGAAAAATTATTTTCTCTAGGGACAGAACTCTCCCTTGAGGTTTATGTGTGCACTAGATATTTGAAGGCATTAGAATGGAGAATTTAACTTGAGGTTCTCTGCACACAAAGATTTTCTTTTCTAAAAGACAGAATAAAACCAAATCGCGACCAAATGAGATTACACCATTAATAGAAAATCTGTAATCAGTTTTCCTGGAAGCCTGATTCATAAAGAAATTCTAATCCAATATGCATTCCCTGAGGTGATGATTCCATCTACACCGCTCCAGTGCCATAGAAAACTATTCACAAAGTACAGAAGCCACAGGCTAAAATGTTATCTTAAAAAATATCTGACCTCACCCCACTGACAGCGTGACTTCAAATTCATCATCTTCTCTTCTAGCAATAACAAAGCAAGCAGAGTTGAATTTCATAAATATCACAATACAAAGGAGTAAGTTTTCTTAATAAATAATGCAGACAGTTCTTGTCCTTCCAGAACCGCTCGCTAACACAGCCTAAGGCAGACAGAATTCACATCACTTATGAAAAATAATTTGCTATAAATATGTATGGCTGATTGTACTAATTGTGTTTCCAGCAGAGACAAATTAAGCATATTCAGGAACGGGAAAATTTGCTGAATAGGAATTTGCCAGACTTGGAATTCTTTCAGTTAAAGATAACTTGTTGAAGGTCAAACCAGACTCTGGACCTGACGTCCGATGAGAAATGTGTATCTGACCCATTTCTGTTGCAGCTATTGCCAAATCATTTTCACAAAGGAGGCAAAAGAGACAGCTGTGTCCAACTCTCCTTCAAGCTTGACTGACCAACTCACCCACTGAATCCTGCGAGGGAAACGAGAAACCAGGCCCTCTGCTTGTTCCTCTGCAAACAGCAATCCCTTCACCTGCCCTCTTTTTCTCCTTTCCTTTCTCCGCTGCTCCTCTTGCCTGTTCATTTAAGATGAGACCAGCACCAAGAACTGTTGCACCACCGTGCTGAACAATATACTTTACCACAGCTAAACAGCTAAGAAAAAATACCAAGCCTTCTTTCACACATATTTTCCACCAGTTAGACTTTGGGGGAAGTGTTACTGACTTGTGTTGCCTGGAGAGTGGCATCACAGCCACAGACTGCACAGGTCTGAAAACACACCACCAAGACTGCTGCTGACCAACCACCACCCTTTTGTTTGAAGGAGGGGTTTTTAACCTTTCTCTTTTTTCAGACCTCTGGCGTTTTCAGAGTTTCTGAGCCCTCAGAAAGCCCAAATAAGCCCACAGCAGACTGGCTTATTTGGGTAACCTCGTGTAGGCTCCTTACGTGCAGGCAGTGGGCTGTGAGTGCTCTGTGGATGGCTGACATCTGGCCTGACTTAGCAAGATTTGCTGCAGCTCCAGCTGTTGATAGTGACAAAGTGAACGCAAACCCCGTCCCTCATTATTGAATCAAACGTGGTACAGCTTCCAGTCTTTCCAAACTATAATCTCCCAACTAATAATGTTTCAGATTTATTAGAGAACAATTCTAGCACCTCCTGTACTCAGCCTGTGTTATTTTTGCCATTTTAAATTATTTAATTTAAATTATTAGATTTCCAAATGTCTGCGACATTCCTTCCAAAACGACATTAGAAACCTCAGTCAATTATTTAACAGAAGAAATACTGAGCAACATTTTCCCTCATAAGAATAAGATAATTATCTTCAGTAATTGCATATGCTCTCCGCTATGTCTGCACTGAGCTTGCATAATGTATAAAACATTGGTGATGGGTCATTGAATTTTACTATTAAACTCCTCGAGGTCTGATTTATTCTAAATTGTTTGTCACATTTCACTTTTGGAAAACCCATTATTGTTAAGCAGACAACGATCTCTCATTGCTGAATGCTGGGAAAAAAATAAAATGATTTCTGAAATCCGTATTCTTCAGCCATCACATTCATGCAAAACAGCTGCTGGAGCTGATAAAGGATCCAAAAAGGATAAAGCTTGAGCAGTGCCAACGTTACAATGCTTCAAGACAGCATTAAACCTAAGCAAGATGAAATGTGCAGAATAGAAACTGGCTACTTTACAATGAAACCTGGAGCTGAGCTCAACATATTGAACCTTCAGGAGACTCGAAGTTGTAACAACAAATAGCAGTAAAAGGATAAAAATCCATGATGCGTACGCTTATATGAGTCATCTTTGGCACTTATCCTGAAAAAATGTTTGTGTTTAACTTAAAGTACTCTAAGTAGTCCCATTGAGGTCAGTGGAAATACTGAGACTACTTAACATTACACACATTTATAAAGCATTGCAAGATTGGGACCCAAGAGGTTGAAAGTTATACGGCTTTGCATTCACTGATCATAACATCATCTCACACATGGAGAAATGCAAAGCAATAAACCGAGATACACCTCACAGCATGCTCCATCCTCCCACCGCCCCTGGCAAACAGTGTGGGAGTGTATTTTGGCTTTATGATGGTTTCCAAACAAGTTAACTGGCGACAACATGCACCAAATGGTGCTCACTGATGACTTCTGCAGGAAGTCTGCATCCTGACTGCAGCTTGGGCTGAAGTGCAGAGGGTGTGGCTGTCCTGTGTGGCCCCCTTCAGATCTGAGGGAAGCATCTGACACAGAGATGAAGGTGTGAACTGCGTGACTGGGGCAAAGCAGAATCACAGAATGGTTTGAGCTGGGAGGGAACTTGAAAGACCGTCTGGTCTGGCTCCATTGCAGTGTGCAGAGACATCTACAGCTCAATCAGATGCGATGGAGTGAAGCTCCGAGGAAAAGCAATGGGCACAGGAAACCTGGGGAGTGCAGGCCCTCGATGCCTGGCAGGATGGGGAGAGATGGGAGAAGTGCTGCAGTGAGAGCCCACGATGGATTTGTGAGAACAAGCGTGTTCCTGCTAATTGCTCAACACAATCAATGGTACAAACTGGAAATGAATAGCTGAGTGTCCCCAGCCACGCACACAACAACAGCAGCACGACGGCCAGGCACGCTGCTGCCTGAGTGAAGTCAGACCACGCAGGAATGACGTCAGGCGGGAATGACGTCAGGCGGGAATGACGTCACGCTACAAGCCGCCCTCCTCACCGCACCTCTACGCCGAAACACCGAGCTAAGGCCTGCGCCCCGACGTCTCACGGCAGCAGCTGCCTCACCGTTTTCCCCGCGTTCTGAGGTCGCAAAAGGAAACCTGACGTCACCGCGGAGCAGGGAGGTACGGCCCGACCCGAACGGACCCGATCCGAACCCTCACCTCAGACGCCGCCACCGGCCCAGCAACCCGGAAGTGCTTGCTCGGTCGCTTTTCCGGATGCACCTCACTTCCGGTGTCAGCCAGCTGGCGCCGCTCTGCACCTCCTCTCGATGGTGCGGTCCGCCCGCTGGGGGAGCGCGGCGTCGGAGGCCCGGCTGGTGAGGCAGGGGCTCCCGCGGGCCGCCTCGGTGCGGCTTTTGGGAGCGTTGCTGGGGTTCTGCGGGGTGCGGAGTCCCGATGGACCCGGGGGGCTCCTTGGGCAGCGGGGAGGTTGCGGGAGCACAGGGACCCGTGCGGACAGCGCTGTGCGGGTGTCGGCAGCCTGTGCTGTTGTGTCATCCGCCCCTGCGGGGTGCAGAGGCCGTGTCCCCCCGTCCGTTGTAACACACCCCGTGTTGTTTGAGCACCACGAAACAACTCAGCCCTAAATATAAAAGCAAACCAGCTGCTTGCCTCCCTCCCTGCCTGTTTTCTAATAGCTGTCCCCATTGGTATCCAACCCCTTCCAAAACAGCTGGTCCCAAACAATTATTTTATTTTGTTATTTTATTTTATTTTATTTTTTTATTTTTTGTGAATCAAGCCATGTATTTAATCACCTGCTGTGTGTTTTGTTTGCTTTTCAGAGCTGGCAGCGTTTCTTGCAGAGAAGGTGTGTTGGTGAGATAGGGCCACTTGTTCCTGTGGGACTTTAAGCTTCCAGGTGTGACATTTCTCCCGTAGAAGCTCCCTTAAAAGCATAATCTGTTTGTGCAGGTACGTGTGGCAGCAAGATGGGATTTCTGCCAGAGGTCTGCTGAATTATTTAAAGCACAGGTGTGCTGCTTTTGAACTAATGTCACAGCATGAAAGCGAGAGGTTATTTTATCTGCTTTGCTTTCTGTGAATGCAGTAGTCATGTCTGAAGAAGACAATGGTGAAAATCTGAAAGAGGAAACCTCTTACGAGGACGAAAGTGAGCAGAAGGTGGAAGAACTTGGCAGCACTGAGAGCAATGAAGAGAAGGAACCTGTGCCTGTGACTCGGAAAAGACCTGAACCCAAAGCCCCAAGTCAGTCTGCTGACACAAAAAAGCCCACAGCTGAAACTTCCAAGGTGTGTGTTTGCTCTCAGTCTGAATGATGTGACTTGAAGTTTCATGTCTTTGTGCACAGAAGAATTCTGAAAATTCCCATTGCTGTTCATTCGAAAAGAAAAAGCACTGTGAAAGTTACCCACCAGAGGCTGCGTGTGTTCTTGTTACCTGAATTGCTCTCTTCTGCTTTTCTTCGATAAAGGTTTCAGAATCTCCTGCATCTCAGTCAGGATGGGGGTACTGGGGAAGCTGGGGGAAATCCCTTCTGTCAACTGCATCTGCTACTGTAGCTACTGTAGGTAAGTCTCTTTCTGGTATTTGATAAATATTTTAACCATGTGTCATGTTTCAGGAGCTTATGAGCTCTTTTTTTCTTGAGAATGAGGTTTCTGTTATAGAAACAAGTACTGGAAAATGTCAAGAAAATTCTTCAAGTAATGGGAAAGCACGCGCCAAAAGGTACAGGGAGATTAAGGAGAGGAACTCAACCAAAACTACCAAGTTTTCGAGGTGTTTGAATAATATGATGTTTTAAAACTTTGCAAGTTGATTTAAAACCTGAATGAAATCAGAATTAATTACGCTGGAAGGTTAAGAGTCTGGATAGCGGTATGTTTTAGTGTGGATTAAACTGTTTTGTATAGGGAATAAGGCAGAATAGTAGGAAAACAATATACATATCTGATGCTGCCTCTGTTCTTATGAGGGATAAAATATACCACATGGATGAAGCACTGCTGCTGTCTTTTCTAGGTCAAGGTATTTCGAATGTCATAGAAAAAGCAGAAACAACCCTTGGGATCCCCAGTCCAAGTGAAATCTCTTCAGAGACCAGAGATGCTGCCAGAGGTCAGTTTTTATTGCGTAAGAACAACACTGAAACAAATCTCAATACAATCAGCCCCTAAATGACAATCATGTTCTATCTCTCATGTTGGTGTAGATACCAAAGTGCTAAAAACAGCACATTGCTTACTGGTGTTAGAACTGAGACTATTTTCCTGTCCTCTTTCCAGTTCTAACCCTGCTTCTGGCTGACACATTTTGTTAGTTAATTTTCTGCACTCAGCAGCTGAAAGGATCTTTTTGTGGGAGTGGGGAAGCTGATTTTTCTGCCTTCTAATGCAGGAAGTGAGAATCCCGATGTTAGCAGCGCAGATGCAGCTGGTGATGGCAGTTCCTTTCCTATTGCTGGAGCTTTTGGAGTTCTATCAACCATCTCTACTGCTGTTCAAAGCACAGTGAGTGAGTTGGGAAAGCAGGCGAAAATGAGTTTGAGAGCGTGGTCTGAAGCATCAAGAAACTTAATTTTGGCTTTTGTGTGATAATTAGTGAGAGAGTATGTCAGCCTTCAAACAGGCATTATCTCATGCCATGCTGGCAATTGATGTGCAAGTTATCTTTAGTTTTGTTTAGTTGTATATGAAGTGTTGATGTATAACAAGCATGCATCACACAGTTCAAGGATGGGCATCCATTCCCATGCATGTCACCTCTGTGCTGTTATCTGTGCTCCCTTCCTTCAGGGCATTCAGTCAAATGGAGAGTCAGACTCATTCCTGGAATATTTTCAGAGAATTGTCTAGATGTGAAACTCATTCTCCTCTTCAGAAACTCGTGAAACCAGCCCAAATTGCTTGGAAATCAGCTTGCTCCTGTGACCGTGAGAAATAGACTTCAAAGAGTCCAGTACCCTTAGAAACAGTGCCTTTGTGACCTGCTGTCTTGTCAGTGTTTCCCATGAATCTGAAATAGCTGCAGATGTTCAAACCTTAAAAGCAAAAACAAGCAACTGAAGCCCACGTTTGTAGCATTTTCTGCTTGGAGTGTCAGAAACGAAATATCTCAGAGTGCTGAGAACCAGCTCCTTCACAGAATAATAATATTTTTTGTCAGATTCATGTAGCTGATTGAGTGTTGTATTAAACTGTTGATTAATAGTGTATCATGGCATTTTCCCTGTCCTTACTCTATTTTTGATGATTTTTTTTAGCATTGAATTCTGGGGTGACAAGGACCAATTTGGCTTGCCTAACATAATATGGCCTCAGTCTCATTTTTTCAGCTATATGGTCTTCTGTGACTTTTAAGCACTGACGATACCTAAATCTGTTTCACAGGGAAAAAGTGTTATTACTGGAGGTTTAGATGCCTTGGAATTCATTGGGAAAAAGACAATGGATGTGATAGCTGAGGGAGACCCTGGATTCAAAAAAACAAAGGGCCTAATGAACAGGACCTCTACGTTATCTCAGGTACGGCTGTTCCATATCAACATGTTGGTTTCTTATTGTTTTTTCTTCTTCTGAGATCCTGTCATTAAGCAGCCATCTCTTTCTGTTGAACCTAAAGCTTTCTCCTACCCAATTCTGTATCTTCTGATATTGAGCTGAGTCCTCTGCATTTCTTTTTTTCAGGTCTTACGAGAGGCAAAGGAGAAAGAAGAGCAGCAGACAGCTACTGAGGTTACCATGACTACAGAGAAGAAAGCCCATTATGGGTTACTGTTTGATGAGTTTCAGGGTCTTTCACATCTGGAGGCCTTAGAGATGCTTTCTAGAGAGTGTGAATCAAAGGTAATGGCCTTGAGCAATTTTCCTTCCATTTTTGAGTTCAGCTGAGGAGGAGAAAAAAAGAGCTGAGATGTATGTACATACATGCAAAATCAAGTGCTCAGGACTTTTTACTGAAGGATGATTGTACAACTTCACTTTGACTCCTGCATTATGATCTGCTGTTTTCCTTGGGAGCATTCTGTCCTGTCCTCAGCTCCCAGAGCCATTCTCTTTGCCTAATCAACCTCAGTTCCTGCATTTCTTCAAAACCTTATCAAGAGGGGGCTTGTTTGCTGGAGGAGAGTAGTACTGCAGGCACAGCAGAGTGTTTCAGGGCAAGGAGAAGGGCTGGTCAGCATATGCATTCAGAAGTCATTCAGATTTTTATAAAGGAATTCTTTTAATAACTCGTAAAAATCTGCTGTTACCTAACTTGTCTTTCCTCTTCAACCTTCATGTAGGAAAACACCACTTTCTCATTAGTATTGATCTGTAATGTTTTTACATACAGTGTAAATGAGATACTTCATCTTCCATTTTGTTTCTTTTTCTTTCTGGACTTATAACTCTATATTTGGCTGTTCTGCCCCTAACTAGGTGAAATTGGTTCTAAGTGCCCTCTCTGGAGAGGAGTTGGACACAGTGAAAGAGGAAATGGAGCAACTTAATGAAGCATTTTCTTTAGCTGAATTCTTTGAAGAAGAAGAGGAAGAAAAGAAAGGTAAAAATCCTAGGTGAAAGTTCTGGAAGGAGAAGCTGGTTCCAAATGAAATTCTCAATACAGAGCCAACTAGTCGTGAGAGTGCTAGCAATGAATGTGAAGTTATTCTTTTGCTAGATGCTTAATTCTGAAGCCATCTGTGGCTAGGAGCATGACTGGTAGCAATGCCCTTCATCACTGGAAGGCTTCTGTGAATTAATTCTGTAGCAGAAATCACTCGATTCTTGCCAGAACAGGATTAGATTTACTTGACTTCTGGTCTGTTATTACAGCTGACCTTGAGCCTATATTCATAATACAAGGAGACACTGGGTTTCCCTGTTCATAAGGGAAAGACTTGGAATAGGTTGTCTAAACCTAGGGGAG